CCCTTGAGCTCCTAGTGGAACATAGGGCTTCAAATTCACGTCTCAACTTGCTTGTGTCTTCTGCTGTACTTTTCACCTTCATCCACGTTAGTCCATACTCTTTCAATTCCTCTTAACACGATCTAATCCATGTCACCCTTGAACCGACGACCCACTCGCCGCTTCTCTTTCGGCTTGGTTCCACTCGAGCAATGGCCTGAAGCGCGCGCGATGTCACCCAGCGGTCTAATCAGCGAGTGTCTGATCCATCTCCACTTTCTCCTGCATATTTGTTGGTTGGCGATCGCTTCTTGTTTTGTTTGCTCGTTTGTTCCCGTAGTCTCCTGTTGGTGATTCTTTCCGGCCCGGCCATCTGATCTTCAGTATAGAGCCAGCGAAGACAGTTGTTGGTTGATAAAGGTCTGGTCTGCAACAGGCGGCTGTTGAAAATATTCTTTGTGACCCGCCCACCAAGTTTCTGATCCGTATAGAAGAGCTGACTGACTTGACGCTGTTTGTTTTGAAAATCCGACGGAATTTTGTTGTTGATGCTGGCTGAGTGACCAGATGCTGATTTCCAGATTGGTTGTTTCAGGTTGATGAATGTGTTTCTCGTTCGCCTTCCCGATTCTTGCTCGATTTGACATCCTCGTCCGTCCCGACTTCCTGTAGTTGAGACAATGCTCCCTCCCTAGATAAGTGAGTGAATGAAGTAACCTCTTTCAAATCCCTCCCGTTGATGTCGGTTGGCGCTGGATGTTGCTTCTGTTATTGTTCTTGGTTGGTTGGTTGGTTGGTTATTTTCATAACCTCCGTCTTGTTTACCTATGTTCACCTAGAGTCCTGTCTTCGCCGGCTGCTTCTTCGACCAGTTTGTCGGTTTTTGCTCGTAAGTCTCCAATTTTGTGACAGTTACATCAAACATAAATCATCCACGCGCGAAATCCAGGTCTTCTCGGTTCTTCACGTCGGTTCAGCATATCTCTGTCTTCTCGTTTCCCACTGTCCACCACAATTAGGAATATCATTAGTAAGAATTACCACTTCGTAAATCATTTGAGAAGTGAATAAATTTTGTTTGTAATTGTTGTGTATACTGTAAAAGTATTTCTATAAATATGCGCTGACTGCACATCGCTTGTAGAGCTTGCTTAATAAAAAGCTTATTAAAAAAGTGGTTTTAAAAATAAGTTTTTATTTTCAACGCTGGACTGTTCACTTGTTTTAGCTTGGTATTAGGATATGCTTTTTTAACTTCATCAGTCCTATAGGTGGAATTATATACATGAGTTTTAACCCAATCTACTAAAATAGGGTCAACTGTCAATGCCTAAATATCATCACTTTCAAGTCGAAATAGATTGGTTAGACATTCTGTAATCTCTGAATAGATTTCGTTTCGTCAAAATGTCATGACCTGTATATTAAATTCGTTAAGATACATTTGATAAAATAACTAATTTAAAAACAATGCCATTTAAAAATGAGTAGATTTCGCCTAACAAGTAATTTTAATTTCTCTTATAAATCTTTTAATATCTTAGTGACATGGGGTCGCAATATTAGCCTGTTTGACAGGATTATTGTGAACTTATTTTAAGGACACAATCCGTATCCCGATCTGTGTAAAGACTATAATGATATTTCTTCCTGCTTAAGCAAAAAATAAAAACTAAGGTATAGTAGATACGAAGTATAGATAGGCATATACATATTTTAACCATTGCATTGACAATATAAAACTTAATGAATAGATGAGACGTTTGAAAGTATCTTTAGTTCCACTTTCAATAAAAGGGATGCATTTAAAGCAATACCTAGATAATTGTTTGCTCAATTCCTCGATATTCAGGTAAACAACCTGAAGATTTTTCAACTGTATTTTTCATCAGAGGTTACTTTCAGTCCCTATTTCCTGAGTGTTACCTGGAAGTCACTAATAAACAGGAATATTAAACAATCGCTGTTTTTATGTATTCACCTGGCTAGGAATGAAGGTATTTGGTGTTTTCTGTCCCCAAAAATCTATATTATTGTCCATGATGTATATCATACGAAGATATTTATGTTTTCTACCATCATTCTACTTATTCCTACCATTCATTTGTAGTAAGTTATAACGAATCACAACTGATCGCTTGAGTTCTGTACAAAATAATTTGAATAAAGCATTTAGAAGACAAATTTCGCCAGATGATATCATTTCATAGTTTCTTTACAACCGCCTTACAACTAACATGGTTAACAATAATAAAATGAAATGCATGACAACTACTCAGTTATATAAAATAAAAGCACATAGTAATGACCAATCATATTCAAATAGGTCAAGTAGTCCATGGTAGACGAAGATTGAAGTCTATTGTTTTTGTACACACAGTTTAGGCAGTATGTGATTAATCCAAAGTGCTTCCATCACCATCAATAACCTTGAATTAGAGTTATGTGAAATAATTGTGAAACAGTCATTAATATTAGAAGTTTCCAGACCGTAGGTGTTACGAACTTCCTGGAATAATTTGAGTGCCAAGTCAGATCGATTCATTATAAATTATTTAAGTTAATCCCAGAGTGTTTAAGAAAAGCCAAAACGAGTTTTTTTCCAACGTTTCTCTGTGTAAGCCAAAGCTTCTTCAAAAGATTCAATCTGAAACGTTCACAAAAATCTTGTTTTGATTTTTCTTACACACGCTAGGATTAAATTAAATAATTGATAATGAGTCATGAATATTGATTTTGTGACTTGACATTAATAAGTGCTTTACAATGGATGATGCTGGATTTCTATTCAGATTAATTGTACTGGGATTTTCTGTGTCTTGATAACCATTTCGGAACATGTTCTCTTCGACGACATTGGAACATCCTGTTCGTTCTACATATATAGGTGTCACCGCAACTGTAGGGGAACTTGTAGATACAGTTTGAAGTAGTGTTCACAGAATTTCGTCCTTCATTTGTAGGTACAGGGATCGAAAATGTTTGCCATGTGAGGAAAAGAGATGAGGCGTGTAACGTGGACTTGAGGACTGACTGAAGTCTTTGAGTTGTCAACTGCATAATTTGATCACTCTTGAATGGTAAATTAACAAAGATAGCTTTCTTTGGTACAGAAGCTGTCTTTTCTAGATGTAGTCTATCTTTACTGTGACAAGTGATGAAGTTCTGAGGGTGACCATTGGCTAATTAAACTGAATGTTGTCGAAACTCATCCATCAATGTGTCACTCGTGCATACTTTTCAGGCCCTTGAGAACAAACATTTTACTAGGGGACGTTTATACTGGACAAGAACAAAACTGTTGAAATGAAGATATTGTCCACTCCATGTCTGTTTACGAAAATTAGATCGCTGAATCATTCCATCATCTCTTCTGGTCACTGAAATATCCAGGAGACCAAGTTTGTTATTCGATTCGATTTCGGAAGTCACACGGATATTTGGATGAATATTATTAAATAGAGTAATAAAGTTTTCAACAGACTTACTATTATTACCAATGATCAGTGTATAATCCGCATAACGTTTATATAGAATGAATTTTCCAAGCATACCTTGCATTTGTTTCTCTAATTTCGACATGAATATATCTGTTAACAAGGGCCCAAGAGGGCTCCCCATCGCAACACCATTGATTTGTTTGTATACCTTTTCTTGGAAGGTAAATCTAATATTTTCTGTACACATTAAGATTATGTCTTTGATGTAAGTGACGGGAATGGGTAAGTTTATTCCAACGCTTGTGATGTATTCACAAATTTAAAAAAATCAACAGTTTCATGAAGAGGAACATTGGTGAACAAAGATTCTATGTCGATTGAGCACATAATCTTTTCCTGAATCTTCAAGGTGTCTACCATATCGATCAGATCAGATGAACTTTTTACAGAATGATTTGACAATGAGTCTCATACAGGCTCAAGGGCCTCTGTAATCCACTTTGCAATTTTATAATACGAAGAATTCGAGACGTCTAAGCAGGTGTCAGTGGGTTCCCAGTTTTGTGGATATTTGGAAGGCCATACAGCCGGGGAGTATGTGATCCAATAGCTTCAAGTTGTTTATAAAGTTTTTCATTTATAAAGCCATGCATCAGTAAAATCTGAAGCTGAAGATTGTTCTGCTTTTCCACAAGCAGAACATTATCAATAGTAGTAAAAATAATTATACTTCTGTAATAGCTGTTAACCTTGAATACTTGAACATAATAAACGTCTATAAAGGAAACAGAGTTCGAAATTGTATTCACACTCTTAATGGACAAAACATAAATAGACTTACTATAGATTTTATCCCAATGTGATAACTGGTTCTGGAGATAACTGCCTACTTCAGTGGTACGAACACGGGAAAAAAAACCTGTTTATTTTACTGCAAATGTATTTATGTACAATAACACAGCATGAAACTAATTACAATATTGTGCCAAATGCTGGGAATTTCATCATTTGTAAAACCTTTTTGAGATTTAAGTCGGTTTAAAGATAGTTTCATAACAATTTTTTCTTTAAACGTTCATTGAGTAACACTTCTTGAAGTTTTCTAGGTTTATGATCGATAGTCCTACCGGACAGCATATGAAATGCTATCAAATGTTTGGATGCAAGCATTGGAAACAAAAGGATATATACCAAGGACAAATTCATGCTTATTATTATCAGTCCGGTTAAAAAAACACTAAATGCTCATGTACATTATTTCTGAAGTGTATTTAAATTTATGTATACAAAGAGTAAACCCGTTTTCTTGATATATACATCCTAACATTTTCGAGGAGTCTGTAGACCGCAGTTTTGCCTTAAGACATTTAGGATTTCGTCGTATAACAATAACGATATTATCGTTGATAAAATATAACTACACTACCGGTGAAAATGAAATCTCTAGCTGAAGCTAAGACACAAATGTCTGAAATGTTATCTAATTATATTCATACAAAACAACAAAACTCTTACTATTCATTAACTTCTTGTGAAAATCTTACGTCATAAACAGTCTAATATGCTTATGTTTCCTTTCAGGGATTCCTGGAGTCGTGAAGCTCAACTAGCATATGACGTTATATTAATAGTGGCAATTTATGTGATACCCCTCATTGTGGTGTGTTTAAGTCAACATGTTGTCACAGTGCATTTAAAACAATCCCAGAGATTATTGATGCTTTCTGGTCATCGAAATACAACAGCATGGACAAGAAGACGTCAGCGGTTAACAAGATTATGTGTTCTTATGGCAGCATTATTTGTTTTATCTTGGTCACCTAATCATGTACTTAATTTATTAACTAAAACTTTTCATATTAATGATCCAATTACTGAGATTTTACTTGATTCTTCAATGTGTTTAGCACTGTCGAACGCTGTAACAGGTCCATTACTACTAATTACAACATGCTCAAATTATCATCGATATGTTTTCCGCTTTTTTTACCGACCATCAGTGACAAGTCATTCTACTCAAAGTTATTCAATGCCAGCTAATTCAATGAGATCATCAACTGGGATCGGTTTGCCAGTGGAAACATTTCCAGTGATTAGCAATCGTATTGGTGAGACAAATTTGAAGATAGTGAAAAATCCACGAACATTAGAAATTGTTGGCGATGAATGTGATTCTAGTTAACTTGCAGTTGTCTATATTTAAAAAAAAATTTGTACTTTTGAATAATCTGCTGACTGATCGCCAATGATTTCGATCTCCGTGTTTACTGATTCCATGTGAATTAATCCATTGCAAAATAATTTCTACTTTGTTTTCGAAAACCTGCTTACGGTCGTTTTAGTTCTGTATTTCAGTGTCACACTTAATTTGTGTCGTTTCTCTTTTTTTTTTGATCGACCAAGAGAGAGATATATAAAAATGTATTTTTCCTGTTGAGTTATCGTTTCTGTTTTGATTTTTTTTGATTTATCGTATTGTCAAGTTGTCCGAAAAATAAAATAAAATTAATAGAACGCATTACAGCACATCTTCAATATATACATCACAGAGATTAATTTTAAATTACTAAAGGATTTAAAGAAACACTTTATGTATATTTTGTTTGGTATTTAGGAGTTACAGAATCGCGTACTAGTTTCGATACTCTTTAAGGAAACTTAATAAAGCAGTATGTGATATTTATTCAGTTCTAAGATTTGATAAATATATCAAGAAAATCACTTCAAGTAGTATTTTAACGAGTGTTCAGAACACAGAGTGTAATAATAGTTTATTAGAAGTATTGACATAAACAGAGTGCAATTAGAATTTAACTGGTGGATGGTGACCAGCAGTGGAATCCACAATGCGCATTTCGTCCTATTTGGGACTCGTCATCTAGATGTACCTGCATTCCCCAGTGAGTGATGATGTTCCCACCGAGGCTCGAACCCAGTGCCCTTAGTTTCAAACGCCAAAGCGTTATCCATTAGACCATTTGGGCCACAAGACCGAACACTTTGGTCCAGTCAATCGACGGAAAAATCTAAAATTCAATTAAATAAGCAAAGTGCTCTAGCACAACAGCGTGTGTTCAATACCTCTGACGCCGAAGTACTTTCACTGGGTTTTTCATTCATGATCTGCTTCTATATGTTATAGGTGAGTGTTCCGCTAATTTTCGAAGTTTCTTGACTTTTGGTCAAACTATTTATTCGACCATTTTCACCCGACATAGGAGAATCTTGAACGTCTATGACAAAACCTTATTTAGATTTACGTAGCATCTTCAAAAATGTGTGGTTATAAACCTGATAGAAATGACAAAAATCACTGAACATTGATGTAGTCTTATAAAAAACGTGTATATACGTTTACACATTTATAAATCGTTAGCGTTCTAATATTAAACAACTTCCATGAAGTTAATAAGGACGTAATGGCTTATGCGTCAAGAATTTGGACGCTTAAATAAATACAATCAGATTTATAGGATCTTTCACTGATACTCCTTATCCGTGTGAGCATGAAAACAGAATCAAAAAAGAGTCAGGTCATACCAAAAGAATATTAGTGAAGTGAACGATTTCTTGTACGAGTTTGATTATTATTACAACCATAGCTTTGTGGAAGAAGTGCATAACGCCCAATACATAAATTCACTTCTCAGGGATCTTACTAAACATGAATATATACGAATCATCTCAAATATTACAGAAAACGTCTGTTAGCTGTTAGATCCCAATGTCTCTCTGTAAATTTGCTTGGAGTTTGTCACATAAATCTTTACAGTATGATCACAAAGTGAAGTGACATCAAAAAACTGCTTATTGCACAAACACTACACTTTCATAATTCATCGTCTACTAAACAATGTAAGGTAAACTGCTGAACGCCAAGCGTCGTCAGCAATCTTAATGATATAAGAATAAACCTTCAGTACTGTGGTAGGGTTTAATTCTATCATAGCGTAAATTTATTTAATAAAATCACAGTGTTATACTACACTATTACCTATTGATGACGTTTTGAGCACTATTTAGTGCTCATAGCCATAACAAGGTCCCTGATGGATGCGTGAGTAATCACTCATAACAAACAGAGACAACACTGCAATTTAATACTCTTTATAAGGACAAAAAGTAGCAAGTTATCTACTTATATCGTCTTCCTGTGATTAAGTATGATATACCTTACATTCTCTTACATCAAAAATAAATGGCACTGTGAAAAATGTCATTCTTCGTTAAAATGCTTCTTGTTCCTCAGTAGAATACAGTACGCGGACCTACTTGGATGTGCCGAATGTACCCACTTAGAATGACTGCGAGTTACAAAACGTAATATTTCATCCGATGCGTCTGTAGACACTAAACAGCGTGGCTTTAATTACATGACTCGCTAAACAGACAGACAAAGCAACATCCATTATAGTATCAGTTTATATCAACACATTGTTGAACACAATAAAGTTAGAAGTAGCGAGAAGTAATAGACAGTAAAGCAAAAGAGATGATCATGTCCTCAAAAGAATTAGGTATCCAAAGTGTATGGATTATTGAAGACTTTGATAAAGATAAAAAGAGAACATACTAGTCATTCTTAGAACATTTAGGGAGTATGTTGCCTAGATGTGTGTTTCAAATCTTGGCCTCAAACTGGTAAGAAGCCTTTAGATGTATAGCAATCTTTATCTTTTTAGATCACCATTCATTTGGTCTGAAAGTTAACTGAGCATACAGAGCATAGAAAATGAAAATTAATGTTCAAAAACAAAGGCACGTAGTAATCACTAGTAGAATTCTTTGTAAATGAATTCGATACGGTCAGATGCACACGACATAAAGCCTATAAAGAATGTTTATCATAGACAGTTGGATGAATTTAACTAGGCTACGAGAACACATCCGTATTTCTTATCATTTTCAGATCACGTATCCAGAAAATACTAATGAAACAAAATTTATTTTCGGAATTCTAATATTATCCACCACAGACTGGCAATGCCGTAAACAGCTCGTAATACCAGCGCATGAGTTCATAACATATGATGTGAAAATAATGAATATACCGTACTGTGTGTAGAAAGTGGAATATTACAAACAACAGTCGCGAAAAATCCCCTTTTCATATACTTGTAGAAAAATAACACTAATTCTCATGTTATCTCTCATATTTTTTATACCGTTGAACGCTACTATGCATGAAATCACTTCGTGTCTTTGAAAGGTCCAACGATGTTTTACCTTTCTTGCTCATAAAGTATCTAAGTTACAGCTCATCTCAATAAATCTCAGTATAACCGATTAGAACTACTACTTATCGATAAATCTTACGCTTTAACACAGTTTAATGAAACCTTCCTTCTACTTATAAGTACCATCCCTCTCTGGATCTTAACATACATTAAGAATCAGCTAGGGAAAACATTTGACACTCATTTCCAACACCATATTTACTGCCAAAACTAGACATGAATACATTTTCACTTCCGTGTTATTCGTTCAATGGACAAACGTAATTTAAGACAGTCAGTCCAGGATTTCAAAAAAAAATAAATAGATTTTGATTCAAGCATTTGAAGCTGCAAAGGCAGCAGGCAAAAGGGACCTGAGGACACTATATCAGATAACCAAATCTCTATCCGGGAAGAGATCAACACAAGCGAAACCTATAAAAGACAGCCAAGGGAAGCCCATTACCAAGGAAGAAAAACAGATTAAACAATGGGCGGATCACTTCAAAAGACTCTTGAACCGAACATCACCTGCAACCCGTCCAGAAATACCAACAACAGCGCGCACACAACTGCAAGTTGACACCAATCCTCCAACGAGAGCTGAAGTCTTGAACGCAATCAAACTTCTGAAAGCTGGAAAAACAGCCGGACCAGATGGAATACCCCCTGAAGCACTGAAAGCAGACCCAGAGACGACAGCAGACATGCTGACTCCATTATTGCAAAAGGTCTGGAAGGAGGGAAAGGTGCCTACTGACTGGAGAAAAGGTTACCTCGTGAAACTACCAAAGAAGGGCGACTTAGGACTCTGCAAGAACTGGCGAGGAATCATGCTCCTATCGACGCCAAGTAAAATCCTGAGTCGCATCATCCTGGAGAGATTAAAGGACGCACTGGAGACAGAACTCCGACCAGAACAAGCTGGATTCAGGAAAGGCAAATCATGTACTGACCAAATTGCAACTCTACGCATCATCATCACAGAACAAAGCATGGAATGGCAATCAAACCTCTACCTCAACTTTATAGACTTTGAGAAGGCCTTCGACAGCGTTGATCGTGAAGTAATTTGGAAATTACTCGAGTACTATGGCGTACCCCAAATATTCATCAACCTTATTCAACAGCTGTACGACAACGGCACCTGCCAAGTGATCCACAACGGAAGACTCAGCGAGGCGTTTGGAGTAAACACAGGAGTCAGACAAGGGTGGCTTATTATCACCAATGATATTCCTAATTGTAGTGGACTGACTGGATTATGCGTCAGAAGTGAGTGGGAAACGAGAAGACAGAGATATCCTGGACCGACGTGAAGAACCTAGAAGACCTGGATTTCGCGCGTGGATGATTTATGTTTGATGTCACACACAATCGAAGACTTACAAGCGAAAACCGACAAACTGGTCGAAGAAGCAGCCGGCGAAGACAGGACTCCAGGTGAACATAGACAAGACGGAGGTTATGAAAATAACCAACCAACAACAGCAACAACATCCAACGTCAATCACCATCAACGGGAGGGATTTGAAAGAGGTTACTGCATTCACTCACTTATCTAGGGAGCATTGTCTCAACTACAGGAGGAACGGACGAGGATGTCAAATCCAGTGCGAATCGGGAAGGCGAGAAACACATTCATCAGCCTGAAATCAATCTGGAAATCTTCGTCACTCAGCATCACCAACAAAATTCGGATTTTCAATACAAACGTAAAGTCAGTTCTTCTATACGGATCAGAAACTTGGCGGGTGGGTCACAAAGAATATTTCCAAAAGGCTGCAGACTTTTATTAACAACTGTCTTCGCTCTATACTGAAGATCAGATGGCCGGAAAGAATCACCAACAATGAATTATGGGAACAAACAAAGCAAGAACCAATCGCCCAACAAATATGCAGGAGAAAGTGGAGATGGATCGGACACTCGCTGAGGAGACCGCTGGGTGACATCGCGCGCCAGG